GCTTTCAATCTCACTCAACAGAGATTTTCCTCTTCCATTTCATTTTACATTCACGGTCAACACACACACACACACACACACACACACACACACACGCACACACACACACACACACACACACACACACACACACACATATGGCATATTAATTAATGTTCAGATGTGGTTTGTGATCAAAAACACTGTCAGTTGTCAGTGAGATTAGAAGAGTACTGTTTACATGTGAACCACCCAAAATCCCTGCCTGAATCTCTGCCATTTACTAAGATGGCTGCTAGCTGGTGCGACTTGCTTGGACAGGTTAAAACTTATTATCTAAAAACCGGTGGCTTATACTTTTTATGACTAATCATAACCAAGCAGTGAGTTGAAAAGGAAAAGCATGGCGTCAAAATGTAATAGGTGGTCTGAAATGAAAGTTGAACTCTAGCCTCCAGATTAATCGGTGGACTATTTGAGTCTAAACAGTGTTTGTACTTTTCCTTATCCTATTTCATTCTTTTTAATCTCTTAAAGCATATCACACACACAAAGAGGTTTGCACAACATTTCTTTTTTCTCAGTGTTTCATACTAATATTGACGACTCACTGAGTAACTTGGTTGACACAGAACACATGATTGTGACCCGTTTTGAAGTTAGATAAATTTATAATTTATCATAACATTTATTTATCTATGTATTCCTAAAAAGGTACCCTTTCATTTCAGGCTCATACATAGGTCAAAGCATCTATTTAATTTTAGCAATTAAAAAAAAAACATCCCTTAGTGTCCTTGTAATGATCTATGCCAGAGCACTAGAGTGGAGTCTGTTACTCAAACCTCAGATTCAGGATGCTTCACGATATTGAAGGGTGCACAGAGTTTGCCCAACCAGTCTAAATGTGGTTTGTAGATGTGGTGAAGGCATTTGACCATTGGATCCTGGGTTTTGAGTTGGGGATGTTTGGCATTTTTCTAATTATGTATGTTCGATGATCTTTGTATTTTGGTTCTGTATTGTTCTTCAGCCTCTGGTTACAGCGTTATGTTTACATTCCTGGTGCTTATTATGATACTGTTTTCTGTGCCCTGTGTTTCCTGCTTGCTTTAGGTGTGGTAAGCTTCTTTTGTATTCATGCTTCATCCAGTCTGTGTCAAGCTTGTCTCTCTTAGTCATGGTTTCAGTGTTAGTTATTTCCTGATTTATTTTGGTGATTTCTTGTCCCTTTTGCTTTGTATTCAGTTCTACTCTCTTTATCTGCACTTGATTTCAGTTGTTCGTACATAAACTACTTATTCCCTCACTGTCCTCTGCCCATATGTTGTCTCAGTCTCCGTCTGTTCTTTGTCGTGTTATTCCACATGGCTGTGTCCTTCCATGTGTGTTTTCTAAGGAGACCTGAAGTTTCAGATTATTTGATCCAGACCTGCTTTAACTTGTACTTTGTTTAACCCTGGAGAACCCATGGGGTCAGAGCCGACCCCATTGGTTTTCTAGGGTTAAGTTCAGCAACAAAGTTCCTTTAAGTTTACCCCTCAGTCTTGATAGAAATGTTTTTGTCGGAAACATTGAGCAATGGCCTTTAGCTTGTATTTGGGCAGCTCACAGCTGAGTGAAAAGTAGCTGGCATGAGAATCAGCAACTCTGAGGAAATGGCTCTCAGCTGAGTGCTCAGTCTGGATCAGTAAAGGCTCGGTGCACAAAGGGAAAGAGATGAAATATCTTGAGTTTAAATGAGTGGGACGACTGAAATGGAATATTTAAAAACTGGTGTGATGTCTGTAGTGATGCAGATAACATATCGATCTTTTGTGGTAAAGAGAAAGCTTGTTGGTTGGTTTTACTAAATACTCCACAAAAATTCTATAAATTTTATACACCCCACAAACAGTTAAATATGTCACAAGAGGCCTAAACAACAATAAATCACTCACTGCTTTTGCTTAAATGAGGCCTTATTGATTTCTCTGAACCTGATGTTTTACAGATGCAGTTGTCTCCTGTGATTTGAAGGAAAACTGCATCTTACCATGTCAGTTTCCGCCTGGTCCTGAAGAGGTCATCCACTGGATGACAGAAAACATTGCTGTCCACTCGTTTTACTACAACAAAGATCAACTTGGAAGCCAGAACCAGCGCTTCAAAGGCAGGACGTCAATCTTTAAGGACCAGATCTCCAGTGGAAATGCTTCACTACTGCTGAAAAATGTGAATTCTCAGGATGGGGGCAGATACAAGTGCTACACCAGCACCACCAGAGGAAACCAAGAGTTGTTCATCCAGCTGACTGTGGACGGTATGAAAAACACACAGAAACTAAAGGAAATAAAGCTAACATGACTATACTACAAATAATCATGTTGGTATTTAGAGAAATTAAAGAACTTATTAAGTCAGCAATGATTTATTTTTGCAGTTATTACAAAACCAGACTTAATTCAAACTTTTAGTCCTGTCTTAAATGAGAGAAAAGAAGGATAGTGGGAGCCGGAATACGCAGGATAACAATCAACTGTCATGAAGCTTTTTTATGTATCTGTTGTCATACAGTAATTTAAATATTTGACCCAAATATCTGCTGGCTACATGGAAAATCCCCCAAAATGTTCATGGCTGGTTGTTTTGTTAGGCAGACATTTTAGGTATTTCATAGAAGCCACACGGCTAACGCCACCTGCTCCTCAAACTGGAAGTGCTTCATTCTTCACATGCTTTTAAGCTGCTTTCCCGTCCAAGCTGTTAATCTTTTACTAGAAAAGAAAATCTGTGAACCTCAGCGAACGTGATTTTTACAAAAACACAAAACACAAAACAAAAAAGCTAACTTGAAAAATACTTTCAGGGCATGTTGCTTGTTTTCTTTACTGGATTTAGTTTTTGGAATATTGTGTTGCTCTGTCTGCTAGTGGACAGAAACATTTAGCTGATAAGATTACATTTCCAGACCATGGTTGATACAGCATTCCTACACTGCTGCAAATATAGATACAGACACCTCAGACAGTTTTAGTGTATGAGAAACTGAAGCAAAGGACACAGCAAAGGGACACCTGCAAATATCTGAGATCTTAAGTTTTAGCCCACTCTCATGTTATAATCATGTTTGCTCCCCATCTTCAACTTTGTCTGAAACAAAACCGAACAAAGAGAAAAACATGTTGCATTTCTACTTAAATGAACAAACAAAAGCTGAGCCGAAGCTTTCAGTTTAAAGAGACAGAGACACCTATCCACCCTTTTTTAATTACTTTATAGTATGGAAACGATAATCATGCCTAAACAAAAGTCATAAAAACAATCTTGTCATTTACCTGTAAGACCGAAAGGATAAAGTGCAAATACTTACTCATGCTGGGCTTTGTTGTAGTCCCTCAGTTTACTCACCTGTAAGCATTTGGCTTACAGGGAATACCTGTCCATATACCAGCCTAATTTAACTGTAACTTTGGCCAACTTAAATATTCACCAATGTGACAGTGTAATAGATCCACTTTGAACTCAGTTGGTCAACAGAGTTTGTCCTCATGCTCGTTGTATTCACTGAGGTTCTCTGTTTTTTTCAGTTCCAGTCCAAAATGTTTACATTGAGCAGTCAGGAGAAAGCGTCATCTGCAGGTCAGAGGGGATCTCCCCTGAACCTACGCTCACCTGGTTTACAGATCCTGAATCTTCTTCCTCCACTGAGTCAAAACCCCGTGTCCAGCAGAACGGACAACTTTACAGCATCAGTAGTTCTCTGACACGCTCAGAAATTGATGCTGGTTTAAATTATATCTGCACTGTCAGCACAAGAAAAAGCAGAAGAACAGCAACTTTATTTAAACTGAGTGAGTATCTGAGGAGGAGTTGCAGTAATTGTACAAACTTGTTTGTGTATTTGTCTTATTTTTTTGGACTCATTTATTATAATCACAGTTAATGATCAGATATTTTTATAAACTGGAATCAAATTAATTTTTTGATATCATTTCAGCTAATGTCACTGGTTCTGAGTCTGAAACAACAATCCAGTGCTCTGACTCAAAAAGTCCTGTAACTCGTTTCAACTGGAGATTCGACCACAGTCAGATCATCGTGACTGAGAGTGAAGCTGGGGGATCTTACACAGTTTCAGAGGAGTGGAGGCCGTATGTGAAGAGTGTTTCAGAGACAGGAAGCCTCACACTGCAGAACTTATCTACAGATAAGAAAGGAATATACACGTGTGAACTCATTAATGTTGATGAGACACTAATAAAAAACACCTTTCTTCAGATTACAGAAGGTATGATCAAGTCAGGGGACAGGAAAGTCTCTTTGAGTGGAAACTGTTTCATATTTGTGTATGGTGTGAAAATGTTTTATGTTTTTTCCATCCTATTTTCTTTTTTTCAGTTTTGAAATATCACTTGTGCTTGTTGTTTCACTACTATTACTACAACACCTATTATTATTATTAGCAGTAGTAGTAGTAATAGTAGTATTTCTGAATAATGGAACTCTTGTAATAAGCAAAGGATGTTTATGTTTGTGGGTAAATTTGTGTGGCTTGAATTTTTTTTAACTACATCATGGAGACCCTAAAGAAAAAGTAAGTGAGTTACTAATCTAGAGACACTGAACCAATAACATTGAAATGAACTTTAAAATTGAAGTGATTTACTTGGCAAAACAAAAGTTACTTATTAATTTAACATGGAGTTGTTGCTTTTCTCTGACTGATTAAGTAGATTTTAAAAACTGCAGACATTGTTCAATGAAGCTTAATTATAGATTAAAACAAATCTGAGGCTGAAAAGTCGTCACAACTCATGAAAAGGATAAAAGTAAAACATTTAATGTAAGCAGAGACATAAATCTGACCTTGTTTTTGAAAGCTGCATCAACTGCAAAATTTTCTTTTTCAGAGAACTCACGTAGTAATGCTGTGATCATAGGCGTGGTGGTGGTTGGAGTAGTTGCAGTCATTGCTGTCATAGTGCTGTCGCTTGTCTGCAAAAAAAAAAAGGTAAAATTATGTTTTGGCTACTTGTAATTTACTGTTTATGTTTATGATTTGTTGACAATAGTGTATTTTACATTTTTGCTTACAGACAGGACAAACAAAAATAAGACGAAAAAAGATGAACAAAACAAACCTGGTGAAAACAAGAGTTTAATGCCTGCAAATCTCTAATGGAGCCACTAATGAGAAACTAAAGATGATGATGGACAGAGGCCGGACAGTGAAGTGAAGTTTTTTTCATAAAAATAAAAAGTATTCAGACTGAATGCTTTCAGTCACAGTTTTAAAGACTTAACCAAAGGTTGCTGTATCTACACTGTTTAATGAAGGAGAAAGACACATTGCACTTTGACAAAAAGGGTGCCGCAAGACATAATTCTACAGTACAAAATGCTCTGGGGTACTTTCTCATTCTTTTTACTAATTCTTGTTAATGGAATATTTTTGTGCCCATATAGGCACGTCGACAAGATGAAAATAATATGGAACAAAAAAAGAATCAACTACGTCCTCTTATTAAACTCTTGATGCTAAGCTGTCTGGGGTGAACAGAAATTACAGTTTTCTCCTGGAGTGTCCATCCATCCGGCTACTTATTCCAGCAACTACAGGGCAAGAAGCAGGGACAGATCACCAATCTAATGTAGGGCTAACACAGAGAGACAAACTACTATTCACACTGGGATTCATACCTATACACAATTTAGAATCAGCAGTTAACCTAACCCCACTAACTGCATTCCTTTGGACTGTTGGAGGAAGCTGGAGTACCCAGAGAGAACCCTTTATAACACAGGGAGAACATCCAAAGAACCCTTTCACATCTTATTCAGTTGAGGCAAAACTGCTAACCATTGCACAACCATGCTGTCCTCTCCTGGAGTGAATAAAACAAAATTTTATGCTGTAAAATTGGAGATGAAGAACCAATTTTGAGATTACAGAATTACTCGTTTGGCTTTGAGAAAGCAATGTGAGAAACATACTTTGCCGCACCTGCTGTTACTCTTTATTTGTATTTGCTGATTACTGTTGACATGTATTTGATATATGGATGTAAATGGAGATTTTAAGAGTTAAATGAAGTTCAGTCTTTATATGAGACATAATCTGACTGGAGTCTGATTAATGTTGTACATATTACAGAGATATAATGTTGCAGTGAAAGCTCCTCCTTCTGGAGCTACAGCTATGAGTATGAAAAAACTACTACTGCAATCAGCGAGTTTGGTTTGCAGATCTAGAAGTTCGGTGAACAGATGAATAATGAAGCCGGAAAAAAAACCCTCAGGGAGAAATACTTTATATTATATATATAAAATGAATAATGACAAGTTGATCAGTCAGTTTCATAGTCACTTCCATTCTTTGCTTGTTAGATTTGGATTCAAAACACTAAGACTGCAACAGCTCAATGTCATGGAAGCATCCATGTTTCAGATATACAGTCTGTGGTGAAAAGTTCACTCTGAAAACAGTATGATAAGTAAAAAACAAACAAAACAACAACAGCTGTCACATGATTGAATACAACACAAAACCAAACACTAAATGAAAATCCTTTCAGATCTTCATTCTTCTTCTCTTTTTACAAATATGCCTGAAACACAACAAGAACAACTTTCTGTTAAGTTGACAAGTTTTTTTTGAAAATATCTTATTTATGACTGTAAAAGTAAATAATAAGATATTTTCTCTTCCTTCTCTTGCTGCACCCTTAAGATTACTAATTAAATTACTTATTTAATTAGATTACTAATTAAACAATGAATTACAAGCACAACTACTGTTTAAATGTAAATAGTATTAGCTTTGGTTTTTGTGTTTTTTAAATTTTAATAACTTCAGAGAGAATTATTCATTACATTTTGCAAAAAAAAATTCTCTCTGGTCTGTGAGATATGTGATAATATATTATGTGATAATTATTAAAATATTTTTGGAAACCCTTGTTGTTTTATTTGTTTCTATATGTGCATTTAAGGTTTTATTCATAAAGTGTTTAAAGGTACTCTGAGAGTACCTGAAGACAAATTGTTGTCTGTCTTTTCCAAAATCACTGGATTCTGAGAGCTCATTCTGACCCACATATTAAAATTAGGGTAAATTCACTTATCTCATCTTGAGATTTAACTACAACCAGATTAATATGACACAGAGCTAAGGGAGCTTACACAGCTTCAGATGAATGGGGGCAATGGTGAAAGATGTTCCAGAGAGCTTCATACTGTAGAGCTTATCTTCAGATCAGTAAGAAATATTTGCATGTGGACTCACAAATGCTGACAAGACATTTAAAACAAACACCTTTCTTGAAGTTATGGAAGGTAGTATTAAATCATTTTTTTTAAAAAACAACATGGATGTTCCACTATACATTTAAGGGAAAACAAATGTTCCACGAAAAATTTTATCAGTCAACTGTTGTGAAAATCTGAAATAAATTGAGGTGAACACAGCCGGTTTGTCTTTGGGTTTTGCAAAGAAGTCAAACAACAGTAGAGACAGTATGGCAACAGCCTGCATGTTTTTGAACAAAGAAGAATTACAGCATGGATTCATTAACAATCATTCAGGATATTTCAACATTTAATGCTTGTGCATTAACAAGGACTGTTTGTCCTTGTTTTAATTGATCTACACAAACTGCTTGATCCATTATGGTATTATGTGTACATAATAGGTGAATTATGTTTAATTTGCTTCTTTAGTCTTCTTAATAATTCAAGTAGGCTATGTAGGGTATATGCCACAGGCAAGAGTAAGGAAACTTAGTATAAGTATTAATGCCTTTACACACTGGACAAGTAAAATTTCTGTAAATATTTTGTGTTTAAAAATATTCTTCAGTCTCAGCTATTCTTAATGTGGCTATTCACAATGACTCCGTATTTCACAGGAAATATTTGTGACATTTGTTTTTTGAACAAAGCTTGATTTTTCCTGATATATAAACACTGCTCAAAAAATAAAAAGAACACAAAAATAAGACATCCCAGATCTGAATGAATGAAATATTGTTATTAAATACTTTATTCTTTATATAGTTAAATGCAGTGTTGGGAAGGTTACTTTCCATTACAGAATACAGAATACATGCCCCAAAATGTATTCTGTAACGTATTCCGTTACGTTACTCAATGACAGTAACGT